AGTGAAGACGGATTGTTGGTGCCAGCTGACGGCAACCTGCTTCTCTGGTGGTCTTTGCTAAGAGGTACAGAGGGGTCACACGCCTCACCAGAACCATGGCTGATAAGCTGGACTTTATTAAAATTAGGAACCTCTGCTCTGTGAAAGACACTGTTAAGAGAATGAGAAGGCAAGCCTCCGACTGGGAGAGAATACTTGCAAAACACATATCTGATCAAGGACTCATATGCAAAATATGCAAAGAACTCTTACAACTCCACAATAGGAAAACAACCCAATTTAAAAAACGGGCAAGAGACTGGAACAGACAGCTCGCCAGAGAAGATGTACACACGGCAGATAAGTACGTGAGAAGATGCTCTGCGTCCTATGTCGTCAGGGAAATGCAAATGAAAACAACAGTGAGATAGCACCACGCAGCTATTAGAATGGCCCAAATCCAGAAGGCTGACAACACCAAGTGCTGACGAGGATGTGGAGCAACAAACACACTCCTTCATCGCTGGCGGGGAGGTAAAATGGTACAGGCACTGTGGAAGACAGTGTGGTGATTTTTCATAAAACCAAACACACTCTTACCATATGATCCAGCAATCACGCTCCTTAGTACTTACCCAAAGGAGCTGAAAACACATCCACACAAAAACCTGCACGTGGATGTTTACAACGGCTTTATTCATAATTGCCAAAATGTGGTGGCACCCAAGATGCCTTTTGATGGGTAAATGGATAAACAAACCGTGGTACATCCAGACAACAAAGTATCATTCCACGATAAAGAGAAATGAGATTTCAAGCCCTGAGAAGACGCGGAGGAACCTCAAATATTTACCACTATGTGGAAGAAGCCAGTCTGAACGGGCTGCATAGTGTATGATGCCAACTATGTGATGTTCTGGGAAAGGCAAAACGATACAGACACGAAGATCAGTGGTCCCCAGGGGCTCAGGGGGAAGAAAGAATAAACAGGCAGACAGCAGGAGATTTTAAGGCAGTGAAGAGACTGTGCGATACTGTAATGGTGGATATGGGTCCTTAAACATGTGTCCAAACCCTTAGAATGTCCAACACCAAGAGGGAACCCTGATGTCAACTATGGACTTTAGTTAATCATAATGTGTCAATTTTGGCTCATCAACTGTAGCAAATGTCCCACACTAAGGCAAGATAATAACAACAGGGGACGCTGCCTGTGGGGAGAGGAGCATATGGGAACTCTCTGTTCAGTTTATCTGTAAACCTAAAACTGCTGAAAAAGGAAAATCTCTTTTTAAAAAAAGCTTTCCCCAGATCAGTGGCAGCATACCAGGTGGCCAGGGATGTTTTGATTTGCTCCAGCAATCCGCCGCCTCTGAACAGCAGTTGCGGTGGGGTCCTGGTCGAGTTTGCCGTAACTCCCATCATTTATTCTCCAAGGTGCATCTGTGTTCTGCACAGGCGAGCAGGCGAGGGGAGCAGGGATGTGGTGGGAATCACCACCCGCGTCTTTCGTGACTTGGTGGTGGTGCCAGCCTCTGCAGTCCCTCCAAGGAGGCAGCATCGAGTTTGCTGTACTGTCTTTCTAGGTCGAGGCAGTCCTGGCGGCTTCCCCTGGGCCTTTCCCGCCACAAAAGCCCTCGCTCCACAGTCCAGGAACCAGTGTGGGATCCCACCAGCTGAGTATGTCTGTCCCAACTATGCATTCCGGAACTGGGGAAATAATTCCCCGGTGGGCTCGGGTGGGCCCGTTGAAACAGAGCTGAGCTAAAATGCCACTGACCCCTGGCCTCGGCAAGCCCTTTCTCTAATTGTCAGACCCAGTGGGGTCTGGGGTCTCCAGGAATTGGAGTCAGTTCAGAGCCAGTGTCGGTAGTCCCCAAAGTCTGGTAATGTCCCCTGCCCTTGTGCACAGTCACCCAGGAAAATGGCAGTAGGACCTCTGGGGACGGTGGGAAGCAAGATACACAGCCGCCACTTTTGATAGTGTCCCGGGGTCCTCTGGAGGGGACCGGCCTCCCCTCCACTCAAGGGCTCTGGCTTGTGAACTGGCTGCAGTCTGGGAACAACAGAAGGGCCCTGACTCTGTTTCAGGGGTTCTGGCCAGACTTGCACACCTGACCTGGGGCTCGCTTCTTCCCATCGAGGGAGCCTTTACGGGCTGCCCATGCATTTCCACTCTGGGGACACGGGATCAGCTAGCCCGGCCTTCGGTCCCTGTGGGGTAGGCTCTCCGGATCACTGCCCTGCCACAGCACCCTCTGAGCGACAATCTGGCCTCCGTTGTCACTCACGCAGTGTCCCTTCCATCCTCCTTGCAGCTCCAGGTGCTTCCTGACACAGCACCTCCCCCCAACCAATCCTTTCATGTGCCTTGGTCTTGAGCTGGAGTTGGACTATCAGAACTGCACCGCAAACCTGTGTATGCACAGGGCAGCCCTCGGCTCATGTGACTGTGAGGCCCGAGGGTGCCCTGCCCGGGGCCAGCCGGGTCCTGGGGCCAGGACAGGCCAGGGGGCCTGGAGGGGGGGCCCAGTCAGGCCTAGGGGTAACCACCCCTCTCCTCTTACCCCTACTGCCCCCCTACCCCACACGTCTATTGCTTCCGCCCCGGGGCCCCACAGGTCTGGCCCGCCCAGCCTCACCTCGCCCAGCCTCTGCTCCTGGCCTCTTGCTGGGTTTCTCCTGGCCTCTCTGCCCCCTGCCTCTGCAGTCCCTCCTCTCACTAAACACGACCCACGATGCTGCCAGTCGTGTCTCTTTGAACCACTGCTGTCCTCAGAAGTGGCTGAGTGCCTCCCAGTGAGGGTGAATGAATGACAGAATGAATGGACGGATGGATGAATGAACGTCGGGCACTGTCCCAGGGCAGCTGGGGCGGCCGTCACAAAACACCACAGGTGGCGGCTTCACAACAGAAGTATACTTCTCACAGTTCCCGGAGGCTGGATGTCGGAGATCAAGGTGCCAGCAGGTCAGGGGTCCTGGTGAGAACTCTCTTCCTGGCTTGTCCTCACACAGAGGAGGGAGAGAGGAAGGGAGGAGGGAGGGGGAGAGAGGGAGGAGGGAGGGAGGGAGGGAGGGGGAGGGGAGGAGAGTGGGAGGGGGAGGGGAGGGGGAGGGGAGAGGGAAGGAGAAGGGAGAGAAGGAGGGGAGAGGAGGAGGGTGAGAAGGAGGGAGGAGAGGGGAGGGAGAGAGGGGGGAGGAAGAGAAGGAGGAGGGGAGGGGGAGAGGGAGGTGGGGGGGAGCTGGTGTCTCTTCTCCTAGGGACGCTAATCCTATGATGGGGCCCTGCCCTCAGGACCGCATCTAACCCTAACCACCTCCCAAAGGCCTCACCTCCTAAAACCATCACATGGGGGGCTAGGGGTTCAACATAAGAATTTGGGGGGGGGGCACAGATGTTCAGTCCTTAACAGACGCTGACACTGAACTCACCACCCAAAGTCTTTTCTCACCCTCTTCCTCATTCTGCTTTCAGATCCACCCAACATGGTGCCCCCTCCTCCCAAGGCCCCTTCACCCGCCCCGGTGGCGAGAGGGGAGCACCCCGACCTGGGCCTGGACCTACCGTGTCTGAATGGGGCGGGCGATGCGCAGAGCTCCCTGCGCTCCCCGGAAAGGCGTGGACACTGCTGAGTGCGACGGTTGGAGGTGCAGCAGATTCTGCGCAGCCTCTGGCCTTTGCACGTTCTCTTCATGGAGAGTTCAATAAACCACATCTCCAGGAGTGGGGCTGGAAACACTTGCCCTGGAGGCTGCAGGGGGCCAGGGATCCCCAGGCAGGGGGATCTGGTCCACATTCCTCAGCAGGGCCTGGGCCCAGGGAGGGTCTACCAGGCCCCCCAGCCCTGCCCCGGGGGCACTGCAGGATATCCCCTCCCACTCCAGGGGCCCCTCCAGCCCTTTCTCTGCTCCTTCATGGTCACTGGACACCTGAGTCTTAGCCCCATGGCCATGGCCCCTGGGCAAGCAGGGACTCCACAGTGCCTGAGCCCCGCATGCTCCTGGGGCGACACACAGGGATGGAGGGATTTGTCCCTGGCACTCATGACTTCCCCCGCCCCTGCATGCAGCAGCACAGCCCTCCCCAGCCCCAACTCCTACCCCACCACCCCCATGGAGGGAGGAGCCAGGCTCCGAGAGGAGGGGCAGGGCCAGGAGCCAGGCCCCTGGGGGCCAGGTAGGGGAAGGGAGCAGTTGACTGCCTAAGATCTGAGATGGCAAAGGGGCCCTGACACGCTCTGCCCCAGAATCTTCCTGGGTCTGGCTCAGTTACTCAGAGGTCAGGCCAGGGTATGCCCCGCAAGCCCAGGTGGGTGCTTCTGGGGGAAGCGGGGCTGCCCAGGCCACGGGGGTCCATCCGGAGGCCTGTCAGGGCACACACAGCTGACCCGGGCATTAGGCGACCAGGAGGGGAAAGTCTGCACCCCTCCCAGCGGAAGGCTCGGGAGATGCTGCGCCAGGACGGGTAGTGGCATGTCTGGGCTGTTGGGGACAATTTTGGAATCAAGGCAAAGGGCAGAGAGAAGGCCAGAGGCCAAATTCAAGTCCCCGCGTGGCCCTGACACGTCTCCCCTCTCCTGGCCCTGCACAAGGCTACAGGAAGGCAACGAGCTCGCTACCCAGCTCGGCTGGCAGGGGCTGGGGCAGGCTCAGGGGCAGGGCCCCCAGCTTATCTCTGATGGGGGAGAAGGGGGACCTCTCTTGGGCTTCCCCCTGGACGGCCGTTAGGATGGGGCAGGCTGTCGCCTCCTGGCTGCCCAGGTACACAGAGGCAGCAGGCAGGAGCAAGCAAAGAGCTGAATGAATAAACAGCTGCATGGAGGTGAGTGAGGGAAGGGAGGATGGGTGAGCGAGCAGGTGGCATCCCTGAACAAGTGGACATCTGGGTGGACGAGCAGTTAGTGGAGTGGGGCTGGGCTAGCTCGGGGCCAAGAGTTCACGACACAGCGAGTGAACGGGCAGAGCCAGCTCCAGACGCCTGCTTCCCCTGTGCCGTGAGACCGGGTGGTGGACAAAGCCAGGTTTTTAACTAAGATTTATTTTAGAACAGTTTTAGGTTTACAGAAAAGTTGCAAAGATGGTACAGAGAGTTCACATGTACCCCACACCCAGTTCCCCCCATTATTGACATCCGATGTGGGTGTGGGACATTTGTCACAACCCATCAATTGATATCGATTCATTACTGTTAACTCAAGTCCATACTTTATCCAGGTTTCTTTAGCCTTTACCTAATGTCCTTTCTCTGTCCCAGGATCCCATCCTGGACACCACAGACACTCAGTCATCGCGTCTCCTTAGACTCCTCTGGCAGTCAGACTTCCCTTGTTCTGGTGACCTTGATGGTTTGGAGGAGGACTGTCAGGATTTTTGTAAGATGCCCCTCTATGGGGATTTGTCTGATGTTTACGTCATGATTGCACTGGGCGCCTTGGTCTGGGGAGGAAGACCACAGGGTGAAGTGCCCTTCTGCTCCCCTCACATCAGGACACAGGCTCCCGACATGACGTTTCCCTGTGAGGTGTGTGTGCTTCCCCTTTCCATCCCATGCCCTCCGGAAGGGAAGGAAGTCGCTGTGCGCAGCCACCTGGGAGCTGGGTTTCCCCCCGCAAAGGAGGTGTATCCACACACATTATGTGGGATTCTTCTGTGCGGGCGATTCGTCTCTTCTCCACCATTGATTTGTTTATTCCTTCTTATTTAGACCAGCATGGATTCACGGATGTCTGTTGAACACTGTGGGTTATCGTCCAATACGACATTATTGATTTTCTCGCTCACGTTGTTCCCACTTTGGCCACTGGGAGCTCTTTCAGTTGGTTCCTGTGACAAAACAGTTTCAATTAACCAAGTAATTATTAGATGTAGGAGAGGAAGACGGAGGAAAAAGGAGGTCTCTGGCTGGCGACTATGTTATACACATGAGCATGTGCACTCACATCCAAGCCCAGCGTCTCCCAGGGAAATGAGGACGAGAGCTGGCCCGGGCTGGCTCACAGTAGCCTCAGGACAAGGTCTGTGGGGAGCAGGGGAATCTGTACCCCTGGACCAGCCCCTCGGGACTGAAGCTGCTGCTTTAGGGCACCCTCCTGGCTCCCACGGGCTGCCCTCTGGAGCGGAGGCCACCTGAGGCGCCCAGAGGAGATGGGTGAGTGGCCAAGGGCCGGGCAGCTGGGTGGGGCCAGTGTCTTCCCCTCCGGATGTCACTTCCTCTTGCAGAGGGAGTGTTGGAGAGGGAGGGCGTGGCTCAGCCAAGGCCGCTGGGTGTTCGTGGGGCAAATGTGGGTGGTGCCTGAGATATGCCAGGCTCCCTGCCCCAGCCAGTGGGCGCAGAGAAAGGGGGCCATGGTCAGAGTCCTGGCCTTTAGAGGGGCTGGCCGGGGGTCAGTCCCCATACGGCCTGTCACCCAGCGAGCCTCATTACCTGCCAGCCGAGGGGTTTGGTGGCGCTTTGGGAAGACACAGTGAGGTCATCTGTGCAAAGTGCCTGGCACGCAGTAGGTCAAGAACCCAGGCCTGGCCCCAACTCTGAAAGTTTTACTCCATATGACACAGAGGCACCCAGGGAGGCAGCGATGCGCAGTGTCACCCCCTGTATCCCCAAGACATTGCCAGGTGCTGCTTCTCTCACCAAAGTCGGAGAAAGACACTCCTGAAGTGAGGTGCACAGCGGGGAGCGGCTCGTCCTGGTACAGAGAAGGTCGAGATGGCCAGCCTCACAGCCCACGCCCTGGCGCACCCGGATCCGGCACTTCCTGTCCTGCCGCCCCCCTCGGGTGACGCCTGAGCCCCAGCCTGGGCCACGCCTGGGCCGCACCTGGAGTAACAGTGCAGGCCCATGGCATTGGGAATCCCCTCGTGCCTCTGGAGACCCCGGGAAGGAATTCTTGGGAGTCAGGGGGGCCACCCGAAGGGGCTGGGACAGACAAGGGGTCCTGACTGCCCCTCACTCTTGTCAGAGGGGCAGAGAAGGCAGCTGAGCCCCATTCTGCTGGTTTCTAGAAGACCAAGCTGTGATGAAGACCAAGCTGCCTGAAGCTGTGTGGGGCACATCTCCTCCCCTGCTGAGGTCCCCGAGTGTCCAGGAGGACCTCACATTACGAGATGTCAGAGGGGAACAATTCTAGCATGAGAGCTGAGCCTGCTGCCCTGGCGGACCACAGCAGCCGTCCCCACGGTTCAAACCGGCCCAGACCAGACCCAGATGGGTGGTCTCACCACCTGTCCCGTCCAGGTCCATGCCGGCCCCCGTGACCCACTTAGACAGCACAGCCCACATGCGTTTGAGTTGCAGCCCGGCCCCATCCTCACATTCACCTCGTTTTGTTTAATCACAGGTTCGAGTTGTGACAAAGTCTTCTTGGAGGCCAACATGGGTATGAGTGAAGGCCCCAGCCCTGCTCGTGCCCTCAAGACAGCTCCACTCCAAATTACTCATCTGTGCCACTGAGGCATCAAAACTCGAATTACCTTTTCAAAATTTTGTTGTCACAGGACGCTTCAAATGGCATTTCATAAAACCATGCTTCAATAATGATGTTCAGGTTAGACCCTGCCTCCCAAATTCCTTCAAGGATCACGGCCTCGGGCAGGACTCACCAGTGGTCCAGCCTCTGCTTGCACACTCCTGAGACAGGGAGCTCACCCCCTACCCAGGCACCCTCTTCTACTCACCCACGTCTTCCCACCTCCTCCCAGGGTATCCACTGCGGCCACACCAAGAACAGGGCCACACCCTCTGGGAGACCCCTCAGACATATGTCTTGGGCCAGGGCTGGGGGCAGCAGGCGTGGCAGGAGCTGGCCTTGATGTCCCCTCCCCTTCCTGCCTGCCCTTCTTCCGGAACCCCCAGCGGCTCAGTTCTCTGGGTGTGTTGACAGACAGACAGGCGGACGCAGCTCCCTCCTGGGCGTGCAGTGCGGTCTGAGGCCCCCACCCAGCTGGAAACCACAGTGGGAGGGAAGAGGAGGGGCGGGGAGAGATGGGGAGAGGAGAGGAGAAGAGAGAGGAGGGGAGAGGAGAAGAGGAGAGCGCCATGAGGCCGCGGAGTCGAGTCAGGATGGCCAAATGCCAGATGCTGGTCACCAGCTTCTTTGTCTTGGTAACAGGCAGGTGGGGCAGGAGGCGGGTGTGGGGTGGGCTATGTGACTGGACCTCCAGCACTGTGGTTTCCCCTCCACACACACACACACACGCACACGCACACGCACACACACATACCAGCCCTGTCCCCATGCTGCCCCCTTGAACATGGGCCTGGGGTCCCTGGTAGTGGACTCCTGGCGGGCTGTCCCTGTGGGACGTGTCCATCCTCCCTCCACACAGCGCAGGGCCAGGCGGAGTCTGGTGAACTGGGGTCGGAGGCGGTGATGCCCAGGGGTGGGGGTGGCGTTGGCTTCCCCTCCTGGAGGTGCTCTTGCAAGAGCAGGGGAGGGGCCTGCTAGGGGCTGGGGTGGGCCCACTCTCTGCTCTGCAGACGGAAAGATCCGAGCTTGCAGGTCCTTGGAGAAGCTGGACAATGAGTGTGCGTGGTGGTGGGGGGCGGTGAGTGTGTGTGGCCTCCTGAGACCACCCCACAGAAACACTCGGAAGCCCCACAGCTGAACCCGTCTCATGTGAGACGAGGAAGCTGGAGGGAGGGTGGTCAGGGGGACCCAGGAGCCCTAGACTCGGCTCTCTGGGGCCTCAGTCTGTGTCCAGCCCTGCCCCCCATGCTCTGGGTCTGCCCCACCCCCAGCTGCTGGGCCTCGCGGTGGCCTCCATGGCGGCTCTCACCTACTTCGGGGCCCACTTTGCTGTCCTCGGCCACGCATCCTCAGAGAGGACCTCCTACAAGGCCATGCACCGCTGGGGTGAGTGAGATCCTGGGGGGCTGCTGTTGGGGAGGGAGCTTCAGGGGCAAAGGTGGCTGGGGAGGAGCCCAGGGGTGAGTTCTCCCTAGCGGAGCTGGGCTAAGGTAGGCCATGGGGGCAGGCCATGGGGACAGGCGTGGAGGGAGCTGCAGAGGGGTCCCAGCTCCACCAGGCAGAGCCTGGGCTCTGGGGGATAGTGTGTGCTCTTGCTGGTCCCCCCACCCACCCCAGCAGCCTGGGGACAGCGTGGGCATGTCGGGGGGCATTGGGGCCCAACCTGGCCTGTGTCCTGGAGCGGATGCTCCCACAGAGAGGGGCCCAGCCAGGATGAGGCTTGAGCAGCTCATACCCTGGTTGGCTTGGCCTCAGGTGAGAGCACAGGAGGCCAAGGAAGGCAGATGTGGGGGAAAGTGAGGCCCATAAGGTCGGGACCTGGGTCCCAGCCCCCAGGCCTCCCACCCCTTAGGCCTCACATTTTCACCCTGAACCCTGGGCCCCAGCCTCCCTACAGCAGGAAGCCTGGGGCCTGGGCTGGGACTGATAAGATACAGCCCCCTCACGGCCACCTGTCACCAGGGCATGGGGGGGATGTGGCTTCAAAGATAGCCCCAAGAGGAGGACGGGGTTGGGGCAAGAGGGGGGCAGGGGCTCCCAGGCTTCCTCTGCCCTCCACCTTCTGAATGTTGGAGGCGGAGAGGAGGGTGGGGTGGCACCTCCCTGCCTGATGGGGGAGACGTGGCCCATTCAGAGCTCCCAGAAGTCCCGCAGCCCTGTGGTGACCCTCCAGTTGGATTTCAGACCCGGATCTGTGCATTTGGGACCCCTGTTCTGGGCCCCCCTAGCCCTCCTCTTCTCTCTTCCCACCCAGCCTTCTACGTGGGCATCAGCCTGGCCGGGCTCCTGACCCTGGGGGCCGTGCTGACTGCCACAGCCACTGTGCGGGAGGCCGGGGGCCTCATGGCGGTGGTAAGTTCTCTGCGCCCCAGCCCCCTCGGCCCCCCAGGCTAGATCAAGGACTGGCAGGCTGTGAGACCACGGAACCTGCCTCCCTGCAATGTCCCGACAGAAACAGAGGCCCGAGGGATGTGGGCCAGCCAGGACCCCTCCACTCAGTCCAGCCAGGACCCCTCCACACGGGCCAGCCAAGACCCCTCCACTCAGACCAGCCAGGACCCCTCCACTTGGGCCACCCAGGACCCCTCCCCACAGGCCAGCCAGGACCCCTCCACTCAGATCAGCCAGGACCCCACCACTCGGGCCAGCCAGGACCCCTCCACTCAGACCAGCCAGGACCCCTCCACTCGGGCCACGCAGGACCCCTCCGCACGGGCCAGCCAGGACCCCTCCACTCAGACCAGCCAGGACCCCTCCCCACAGGCCAGCCAGGACCCCTCCACTCAGACCAGCCAGGACCCCTCCACCTGGGCCAGCCAGGACCCCTCCACTCAGACCAGCCAGGACCCCTCCCCACAGGCCAGCCAGGACCCCTCCACTCAGATCAGCCAGGACCCCTCCCCGCAGGCCAGCCAGGACCCCTTCACTCAGATCAGCCAGGACCCCTCCACCTGGGCCAGTCAGGACCCCTCCACTGAGGCCAGCCAGGACCCCTCCACTCGGGCCATTTAGGACCCGTCCACCAAGCCCCACTTCACCCAATCAGAGCTGGCCCTCCCAGACCTGGGAGCCATTCACAAAGGCCCGGGGAGAGCCTGGTTCTGTCACACTGGAGGCCCCAGCAAGAGGGTTTGGGTGAATTCCATTTCCTGTTACCAAGAGACCCGGGGAGGCAGAGAAAGGCCCTCTGCTAGCCTGACCGGCGGCCTGGATGTCTGGCCTGTGTCGCGGCCCCAAGGTGGCCTGCAGCCTGGGTCCTCCTGAGCACCACAGCCACCTCCACAGCTCCCCTGGTAGGGGAGGTCTCCGCCACCTGCTGAGGTCCCACAGGCCCCACAGGGCCCACCTCACCCTGCTTCTTGTTGCCCCCATACCTGCTCCTCCCTGGGCCATCCTGCCACTCCACCTGCCCCTCTGACTCAAGCCCCTCCTCTCTGACCTGAATTGGGGCTCCACTTGCTGGAGCTCTGGTCTCTCACCTGCACCCCAGCCACCACACACCACATGCCTCCCTGCCCAGAGCCTTCTCAGGCTCCCCATGGTGTTCAGGACCCAGTCCAGGCTACCTCAGAGGTCCCTCCAGCCTCCTTCCCTCCCTTCCAGCCACGAGGACCCCACTTCCCTGCTTCCAGCCCTCTGTTCCTGCAGACCCCACCCCTGCCCTGTGAGTGTATCATGGGGTCAGAGATTCCTGGGAGCCCGTGCTGGGGCTGTGCTTCCCGCGTGGCCCAGAGGCCGACCACCCTGGGCATTATGAGGACGCAGCCTGTGTCAGCAAAAGTTTGTTGAATGACTCCCAGTTTATAAACATCTCCAAGGGCAAGGACAGGGTCACCTCCTGGAGCTGCAGCCCTGGGCCCTAAGCAGCTCTAGCCCTAAGCACACTCCACAGGCACATGCGCAGGGCAGTGTGGGCCTCGCTGGGCACCACGGCTCTGTCCTAAGGCGTGAGGTCTACAGGGGTGCATGGCTGGAGGACAAGGTGCCGGCAGGGCCAGGCCTGGGGTCCGGGCAAGGGTGGCCTCGAGAGGTCAGCGCGGGGCTTGGGGTCAGCCGCCAGGGGGCGCCATGGAGCTGGGCTTAAAGCGGCAAAGGCAGGAGGCAGGAAGATGCTCCAGGCTGGGTCTCGCTAGGGCTGGCCTTTTCTTCTGGGCCCAGCCGGTCGCGAGGGCCTTCTCCAGCTCTGATCTGTGGGCAGGGGCACAGGGAGCACCAGGGGTCTGGATTCCACATCCCTAGCAACTCGAGGGCCAGGACGACTGTCAGGCAGGGCAGGCTGTGAGAAGGGCCTGGGAGCCCCAGGGCTGGAGGTCTGCTGACCCCAACCCCACCCTTGGCCCCAGCCTGGATCATGCACCCAGTGTGGCCCCCGAGGGGTGCTGGGAGACCTACTCTAGAGACGCTGCTCTGTTGTGTTGTGTGTGCATGCATGTGTGTGTGCGTGTTGCATCTGGCATATCTGTGTGTCTGTCTGTGTGTGTGTGACCACAGGTGAAGGAGCTAGGGGTTGGGAGACCTTTCCCAACGTGATAGGAGCCTGGTGCTCCCCCACTTCCTGTCCCCACCCCCTCCAGCTGCTCCCCAGACTGGCCTCTCGCGCAGGAAACAGCCCAACTGAGAGAACAGAGCTGGCTGCAGCGGCTGAAGGAAGCCATTTCAATTTATTTACATATTTTTGTTTAGAATGAGGAGAAAGAAACCCAGCAGCGTCAGCACTTTGGAGGCCTTGGGGGCCGGTGGGCCCATCTGCTGCCCAAGGGGCGGGCAGGCCAGCCAGTGGGATGGGAAGCAGGGAGTCCATGCTCTCTCTCCTGAGGCATGAAACGGTTTCTGGAAAATGCTGGTCCCCTGAGCTGGCTCAGGGCCTCCAGCCCTGGAGGCAGCGTTGAGCGATGACTTCCAGATGGGAAAGGCGGCCTGCAGCCAGCCAGGGAGGAGGAGGAGCGGGAGGAGGGGGAGGGAGAGGGAGGAGGAGGGAGAGGGAGGAGGAGGAGGAGGCATCTCTAAGGTCATCCTGAGACAGGCCTTGTGGACTCTGGGGCAGGCAGGAGGGAACACGAGGAGAAGGCTGGAGGGCAGCCCAGCCCAGCACAGCCTGAGGCCCCGCTGTGCCTGCACCTGAGTTTGGGGGCTGGTGGGGGCAGCCTGCCCTTTCCTGGAGCCTGGTGGACCAACCCCGGTGTGGACCATTTCTTCGTCCCTGCCTAGCCGGGCCAGTGTCTGTGTGTCTGTCTGCGTCTGCAGGCTTCTCTCCATTCCATTGGTCATCAACTCTCCTGGGTTGGGAGAGCCCAGCCACAGCCTGGCCCAGGCTGCCAGCAGTCCAGGGCGGGTGATGTGTGGGCCGAGCCAGCCACACCCAGCCTGGGGCAGCAGTGGGGAGGGGGTAGTGCAGACAGTTACGTCAGGCCTCCGGACTCCTGGGTTGTGTGGACAGCATCCAGATTGCCAGTCTGGAGCTCCGGGAGGAGCCTCAGCCGGAGACTCAGATCCCAGAGTCACTGGCACAAAGGTGGCAGGTGGAACTTTGGGCGGGGGTGATGTCCCCAGGGTTCTTAGTCTCGGGTGACCCTCTGAAAGTGCCCTCGAAAGAGCACTGGGGCCTGTGTGCCTTTTCCAGGGGAGAGGTCCATTACGTTCATCAGCTTCTGCTGGGGGGACCTCAACGATTCAGAACCCCTGATGGAAGGGAAGGAGGCAACAGCAGGGTGCCGGGGATGGGAAGGCATTCCTTCCAGAGGACTCCGGTCTCCTCCAATCCTGGGGTCCAGGAGGCGGCAAGAGTGAGGGGCAGGGATTGGAGGGGCCCTGGGACCCAGCCGGGTGTGAGGAGAGGGACGGGGAGCTTCCCTGTGGGAGTCACACCATCTTGGGGTGTCCCACTGGCCCACAACCAGAGGTCCCTGCTGGACCCTGCCCAAGGCCTTCCCCAATGCGGGCGTAGCCGGTTGCCCCGGAGCCATTCCTCCTGCCCGGACCGCCTGAAAGGGGGAGCGTCTTCTCCCAGGTCCGAATCTCAGGCTCAGGGAAGGCTCTGCCAGGCCTTCTGGGGTCAGTGCCCCTCCCAGAAGCAGCCGCAGCGGACAGAGCCTCCCTGCAGCACGGAGTGTGGCACTGCTCTTGACAGGCCCTCGGGAGCCGAAACAAGCAGCAGGGGAAGAATTCCAGAAAAGAGCCAGAAGAAGGGATGGGATCCAGTACACCCAACGCCCAAGGTCTCCCCGCTGCCCAAGGTCTTCATCTTGGGCAGTGGGGAGCTGGGCTCATGCAGGACCCCCAGCGATCCCCCCAGCCCAGAGGGAGCCCGCCAGGCCATGCACGGCCGCATGGAGAGTGACCCGTCTCTCCTCTGCCCAGGGCTTCCTGTGCTTTGCTCTGGTGTTCTGTGCCCTGGTGCAGGTGGCCTTCTGGAGCTTCTGCAAGCCCACCCAGGTGAGTGCCTGGCCTGCCCCCATCACTCAGCGGGGGGTCGGTTCCATGCCCACATCGCTCAGCTGAGGGTCGGCTCCATGCTCCCACCCGCCTGACTAAGGGAGAGACCTGGCGGGTGCAGGGACCACTGTGGGGACATCCTCTGCCTGGGGGTGGGTTGGGGTGGGATGGGGGCACAGGGACCACCTGGCTGGTCATCCCCTGGGCTGGGGCAGCACTCCCCAGGGAAGGAGGGAGGCAGGTACAGGCCTTGGACCCCTTCTCCCTAAGGCCCCTCAGCCCCGCCCCCTCCTGGGCCCTAAAGTGATGCCCAGGGAGTTGGGGGAGGGAGGGGAGCAGGGGGAGGAAGGGCCCCCCACTAGCCTGAGGGATTGATTAGTGGGGGGCTGTGTTCCCAAAGATGCGCTAAGGGGTCTGCACTCCTGGGGGGGGGCCCAGCGGGGGCCTGGAGGGCAGAGTGGACAGGGTGTCCAGGCCTCGTCCACAGGATGACAGCAGTCCTTCAGCCCCGGACACCGACCTGCCTGCAGTGGGGCTGCCCCGGGGACCCGGAGGGGGAGAGTGGTCCAGGATACCTGCTGGTTCCATTTTCAACGTGGGCTCTTCCCCAGGGACTCCATGTTGGTGCGACTGGGGTGATGATGGTAACGGTGGGGCGGGTCCCCACAGGAGGCGGCTCGTTTGTTCCTTCCTCCATCTGTCCATCTGTCCATCCACCCTTCGGCTAAGGTTCTGTGGTGCCTGCTGCGTCAGCAGGCCATCCCAGGAGCCCAGGGCTGGGAGACAGCTCCCGTCCTGTTTCTAAGGGAAGGAAGGAGACCCCAGCTCTGGAAGAAGGGGTCTCATGGGGCCATAGCCCCCAGAGAGCACACACGAGCAGGATCGAAGCATGCTGGCCGTGGGTCTATGGAAGGCGCTGGCCCCGGGGAGCAGAGCAGGACCACATCCTGGGGGGGAGGCTGGCCGTGCAGAGATTCTGTCTGCACTCGGGAACAGAGCTGAGAGCCTGTCTGGGAAACGGGCTTGGCAAGTGTGTGTGCAGGGCCGACCCCTCCCAGACGAGGGCCAGGGGCAAGCCCAGGCCACTCAATCCCAGCAGAGGAGACGGATGCCCAAAAGGCTGGGAGAGAGGGCCATCGGGTCCTGAGGGGCTCAGGTGTGGGGGCCAGCCCCCAGCCCCAGGCCTATCTGGACCCTTAGTTCAGAGTGGGGCAGTCCAGGTTGGGGCTGGGGGTTGGCGGGGTCCAGGAGGGGACGCTGGTGGCTATAGTAACCAGTACTGGGCCAGGCCACAGAGCAGGGCTGACCAATGCCAACGCCCTGTCTCAGCCCGTGTGCCCAGAGCCCCCCACCATGGGATCAGGCTTCTCTCCTCACTGAGCTGTGAGCTACAGGGCCCCAGCTGGTGGGGCGGCCGTGAAGGCACCGCGGGATGCAGGTTACCCTTCCCAAAGGGGCCTCTTGCCCCACAGGGGAGCATGTCTGCTTCCAGTGCTTGTCCCAGGCCTCAGGCCCACTCCTGGCCACGCTGCCCGGCCCGGCAGCCCAGCTGCTCCCCGGCTGAGAGGTCACAGCTGCAAGAGCAGGCAAGGGGCAAGCTTCCCCCTGGTCCTCAGCAATGACAAGACCCTGGCGGCAGCTCCAGGCGAGACCCCCAAGGCAGCCAGCAGGTGGGGCTGCAGAGAGGGAAAGGAGAGCCCGCTCCACAGGCTCTGTCTGCCCAGACTTTCTGCGACCATGAGCAATTCTTTGCCTCTCCCTTGGCCTCAGTTTCCCCGTGTGCTCTGTAAGAACCAGCCCAGGGAAACCCAAGCTGGTCTGGCTGGAGTGTGCTGGTTTCTGGGCAAAACCTCATGCCAGCAGCAAGTGACAAGTGCTGATTTCTTGCCTGTGTATCAGGAGACCCAGCAGCCCCAGCCTCCATGTGGCCCGGGCCCCCAAGATGGTCATGTAAGGCGCAGAGAACAGCTGGGGCAGAAGGCGAGGCCTGGGTCCCCCGGGCTGAGCTTGTGCTGTGTGCTTTTAGGTGTATAATCACCCTCTCTGGTCCTTGCCTTCCTTACCTTTGGTCTGCGAATGGAGGGTAGGCTCAAGGGGGCCGGGAGAGCAGGAGGCAAAGCGGGGGCCCAAGGGGTCTGGCTCTCCACCCAGGGCTCTGTGTCCCGAGTCAGTGCCTCTTTTTCCTTCCCTGCCCAAGGGTCACCCCAAGCCACTCACCACCAACCCAGCATCATTTGGGGTCACCCACCTGTGACCAGATCAGAAAAAGGACGTTTCCTCTGGCTCTTGGAGGAGGTCGGAGCCCCCGAAAGGCGGCCTCCATTCCATGGGGGCAGCTCACAGTCTGGCCCCGGGAGAGCCAGGCTAGGCTGGGGTTCTGGCCTCACACTCCCCATCCACTGGCCCATTCGAGGCCTGGGTCACAGCGTGGGTGGTCCTGTTCAAGACAGCTGCCAGGGTGCCCTGGCTCCCCATCCAGCTCTCCTGAGGGTGGCTGCAGCCCATCCTCTCTTCTCTGACACTGTGTTTACAGCTCTGAGCCCAGGATCTGAGGTTCTGGAGGGGAGGGCCGTGCAGGGGCCACAGGCCACAATCCAGCTGGGGCTCCTGCGCTGGGAAGGGGTGGGGGCGAAAAGCCGGATGGCTCCCAGCTGGGCCTCTGCTCTGTCCCAGCCTCACCACGCCCCTGACAAAAATCATCCTGGTCTGGTCCACACTCCAACTGGCCGCCAGGGATCAGTTCTCTGGGCCTTGCCTGACCCCAGGTCGGGGCTGGGGCTTCCTCCCAGGCCGTCAGTCTGGTGGGCCCCATCCACCCTCCGCTGTGGTCCATGTGCATGTCCAGGCCCACATGGGCACAGGGGTGGCCTGGGTGAAGGAGCTCTGGCTTCAAGGGGGGGTCAGCCTCTCGGCCCAGCATGCTTGGGTGGTCAGCTAACTTTCCTGGGCCTGTTTCCTCATCTGTAAAAGAAGGCAGAGACCCTGCCGAGGGGGCTGCTCATGGCAGGAAGGAACCAGTGCGTGGGAAGGGCCTTGTGGGATCCACCTGCGTCTGAGCCCAAGTCACATGTGACCCGTCTGGCGCCGTCCTGGGCTTGCACCAGGCCATGTTTGGGGCTGGCACTGGGGCACCGAGCGGCAGGGGCAGGAGCCTCAGCCTCTGGGCCAACCCGGGCCAAACAGTCCCAGTGTCTTTGTCCCACAAGGCCCTGACGTGGCCCAGCGAGCAGAGGAGGCCAAAGGGCCAAGCTGCTAGCTCTAGGGGATCTGGAGCCTGGACCCCAGCCAGTCCTGTTCACCCCATTTCCCCTCCTGTGCTTCCCCCAAGGGACCCCCTAAGATATCCTGAAACACAAGGTCAAGACAGCATTTTAGGGCATCCCTGTGGACGGGAACCTGAGGATGGAGGAGCTCAGGGACCAGCCACGTCTTCTGTGGCCCAGAGGCCGGGCCACAGACCCTGGTGGGGTGAGGGGGGACCCCCCACTGCTCCCACCACTCACGGGGTTTTCCAGCAGCCACTCCTCCAGGACGCTGGCTCCCTTGGGGCCCTGGCAGGCGCCCCGAAGCTGGCTAAGGCCCGCGCTGTGGGGACGGGTGGCTGTGTGATGAATACAGAGCGCGAGGGCTATTAATTACGCCCAACACAGCCTGAGAAGGACTCCGCCGTGGCTCCCCTGTCCCCAGAAGGACCTGCACGGGGAAATGAATTGCTTGGCTCCACTTAATAATTCATGTGCGGATTAAGTACAGCAGTGCGAGGAGAAGTGTCAAAAGGTCCCTTGTCCTCACAGCTCCCAGTAGTCAGGGCCCCCCCCCCGCCTTGAGGCCACTCTCCTCCCTGATTGTCTGGCCACTGTGTGGGCTCAGGCCAGAGCTGGCCCTCGGGCCCATGGGGTTGGTCTACTGACCACCTGCAGCTCCCCACAGGCCACCTTGGGAGTGTCCCCACCCAGGCAGGTTTAGCAGACCATGGGAATGGGGGCTCAGCCCAGAGCGTCACCAAGCCCGGGCCGATGGGGGCAGCAGGGGGCCGGGGGTGGGGAGCTGGCGTGGTGGGGGCTCCCAGGGCACCTGGTTTGTGCCAGTATCTGAGATGTGCATTCAGCAAACCAGGAACCCCCACCCTGAGAGGGCACCCCTGGAGCTCTGGAAGATGAGGGCTAAAGACCAAGGCATCCTGGCAGGGAGCACCCCAATGTCTGGGACCCGTGGCGTCCAAGACCACATGGTCCACCCCCACTTTTCTTCTAGAGAAACACAGGCCTCTGGCTCCCCCAGCACCCACTGAACCCAGCAATGGGGAGCGGACGGTGGAGCACCAGCTAGACAGCCAGCCCTGCCGGGAGAGTGCGGCCTGGCCTCCACCGCCAGGCCCGGGGGTCTCAGCAGGGGCTGTGGCTTTGCTGGGGCTGCGTCTTCATCTGACGGAGGGGCTCGTGGAGAGCTGCTCTGCCATCAGCGGCTATTGCTTCTCCTGCCAATATTACAATAATGACAGCTTGCCATGGAGGCAGCCAGGTCCTCCCCGGGCCCTAGTGGTGGAGGGGAGGAGTTGAAAGGGTGGGGGGATGGAACCAGGAGGGCTGGTCCGAGCTGGCCTCCTTGTCATGGCCATCTGCCCCACTGACCCCAGGCCCACTCCGCCAGGCCCCAGCCCTCACCAGGACCTCCTCCCATAAAGACAGAGTGGCCTGGCAGTTCTCCGCCCCTATTTCACTTGAGGAAACTGAGGCAGAGAGAGGGCCAGGCCCTCCAGCAGAGGCGGCTAGCCTGGCGCCTGCCCCCAGCCCAGGACACAGCCCACCTCCCAGCGGGCAGGAGGCAACCGTCCGGCTGGGCTTGGGACGACTTGCAGAGCGATATCTCCGTGGGGAGGGTTAGTTGGTGCCAGGAGCGGGGTTGGAAGTCCATCTGGTCCCTACTGGGGCACAGAGGCTTTGGACCCGGCTGGTCTGGAGAGCCCCCACTGCCCGCCGGCCCCCTGCCCCCGGGTCCTCCAGGCTGTGGGGGGCCACCAGACTTCCTCTCCCGAGGGCTGGCGTGAGTGGCCAGAGCAGACAGAGGCCCTCTGTTCACCCTCAGCCCCTTGGGGCCCCCCTGAGCACCCATCAGCATGTCCCACCTGTCAGCACGGTGTGGGAGCGGGAAGGGAGGGAGGGAGAACTCTGGGTTTCTGAGGGGGGAAAGGAAGCATCAGAGGGCAGGGGAGCTCAAAGAGGCCTCGCCTGCGCCCCTAGACCAGCAGTTCCGGTGCAGTCAGGGAAGCCTTCCTGGAAGAGGTGAGATTCCAGTTTGTCTTTGAAGGAATAACTTGGCAAGAGGAGGGCATTTCAGTTTCGGGGGGCAGCATGGACCAAGGCACAGAAAGGGGTGTCTAGGAGGGCAGAGGCGGTGAGGTCTGGGTGATGTGGGGGTGCAGAGGCAAGGCAGAGCCCAGCTGGGCGCCTGTCGCTACCCTCCTTCTCCACTGTCTGCCCCCCACAGGTCCTTGTTCGCTCAGAGCTGGCCCCAGGTGCCCCCCGATTCCCTGGCCCAAGGCCCTACCTGGGCATTCTGGGACACACTCGGCTGGTTCTGGGGAAAGACCTGGAGCATCTTTGGGGAGCTGAGCTCCTGGCATGAGGCCTCTCCCGGCCCTCGGCCAGGCCAGGCTGTTGGCTTTCCCTGCCCCTCTGCCCGTTTCCAGATCAACAGGAGCAGGGCGGACACTTCCTTCGGCAGGGCCCCCACGCTCCTGAAGACCAGAGCGGGGGCAGGCGGCAGAGCTTGGGTCTCTGACTCATCCCACAGGACCCCCCCAGGAGCAGGAGTGTGGCATGAACAGCCATTCTTGGGGGGAGGTCCCCACAACTGAAGTCTGAGGAACCACTGTCACCCACCCACCCAGGGGACCCGGGCTCTGCGCTCAGGGAGGGGGAGGAGGGGGCCGTTTGGATGTGGCCCAGCACACAGGGGCCAGGCCCTTCCTTCGGGGAGCTCTGTCGGGGGAGGGAGCTTCCCACAATGCTTTTGGTGCAGGTGGAGGATGCAGTGTTGGATACCTACGATCTGGTGTATGACCAGGCAGTAAAGAGCTCGTCCAGCATCTGGCGGCAGGAGCTGGCGGCCATCCAGGACACGGTGAGCGTGGTGGGGGAGGCCTCCCCTTGCTGAGCGGCTCTGAGCCGATCAGCCTCCCCAAGTGGACTGTGATCCAGAAAATGGGCACAGGGCAGCCCTCAGAGTCAGCCGGCCCGAGGCCAGGCACTGAACAGGGGGTCCCAGTACACTGATGCCCCGCCGGGGCGGCAGGCGAGGCACAAAGAGTTCCTGTGCTCTTCCCTCTTCCCTGGACAGGGCCGGCTATGGAATTTCAGGGCTCAGAGCAGAATGAAAGGACCCTTGTCCAAAAATGATTAAGAATTATGACATAGAGATGGGACAGCACTAAGCAGGGCCCGGTGACTACAGGGTGTCAGCCCGTGAGGCTGGCCTGGCCCCAGCAGGTGAGCAGTCTGCAGGCAGGCAGGCAGGCAGGCAGCTTTGGCTAGGACCCCAGGGGTGAGGGTAGTCGACCCCCCTTTTACAGGAAAGCCCTCTTGGTGGGCAGGAAGGACCAGGCTGGCCAGTGCCTGGTGTCCCTGCAAAGGCAGCCACATTACCCTGAGCCCCAGTCCTGGCCTCTCGGGGGACCCCAGCTCTGCTGGACCCTGCCTAGTCCTTTGGCCTCTTTGGGCCTCAGTTTCCCCATCTGTCCGACAGGGATCCCAGGGTTCTGAGAGCAAACCACCTCCTTCTCTTCTGTTCTTGCAGTTCCTGTGCTGTGGGAAGAGCTCTCCTTTCAGCCTCCTGGGGAGCTCGGAGGCTGACCTGTGTCGGGGAGCAGAGGCTGAGAGACAGGTGAGGAGAGGGGCAGCCACGACCAGGGCTCAACCCCAGACCTCGGACGTCTCCCACCCCTTGGTCTCCCCCAGACCCTGGGGACGTGCCCACTCAGGGCACAGGGAAGGCTGCCCTGTGATCAGGGGCCTCAGTGAGAGGGGCTGGCTGGGCTGGGTGAGCTTGACTCTGACCACAGGCCCAGGTCCTTCTCCAGGCTACACACGGCCCCATTCTCCACTCACTCCTTCACTCTTTCACACAGCCTCAGGGGGGCTCCCCGAGGCCAGGGGCCAGTGCCAGACACTGAGACTCCACCCTCGGAAGCCTCTAGAAGGACGAAGGGTGGTTGGGAGATAAACGGGGGTGAGCAATGCTAAGGGCCCACAGAGCAGCAGTGGTCAGCCCTTCCTTGGGGGCAGGCAGGCCTCCCGAGGGCCCTGGAAGGAGCTGGAAGGGCATTCCACGGAGGGAGCATCGCCCTGAGCCCGAGTCTGGCCGCCATGGGCTTCATTGACAGAGAGGGAGGCAGGCAAGCCCTTCTTTCCTGAGGCCTGGAGAGCCCACCCTCCCCTCCCTCCAGCCGTGCCCTCCCCCACCCACCTCCCCAGCTCCCCTCCCCCGCTGTCAGGGAAACAAACCCACCCCTATCTCCCTATCTCAGGGAGAGAGGCTCCTGGCCGCCCTCCAAGAACAGACAGGAGGATGCAAATGGCCCTCGGCCCAGCGAGGGACTGAGCCAGCTCAGCCGAGAGGGCTGGTGTGCTGGGGAGGGGCGAGGGCAGAGGAGGGCCCAGCGTGCCCGGGAAGGGGGCTGAGCGTCTGGAAGGCCTGTTCATGCCTCCCAGGGAGAGGCCTCAGGTCCCCTGTCTGGTCTGCAAAGTAGGGCTGAGGGCCATCTCCGTGCACCCTGCAGGTGGCAGGGCCATGGGGACCCATTGTAAAGGCCTCCTCGGTGGGGACACCAGGGCCAGCACATGAGGGTGGATGCGGGCCCTGGGCCGTCTGTGGAGCCACCTGGGGGCGGGGCTGATGTCCTGGATGGTGGTCTGCCCTCAGGCTGCCTTCCAAGAGGAAGTGTGACCAAGTGGGGCCCAGGAGTAGGGGGCTAATTTGGGTCCATTTTCCCACGGGGCACCCAGCCGGGCTACAGGGGTGCACCCAGGGCTCCTGGGGCCGTTTGGGGCTGTTTTCTAGCTGGGACAAGTGGGAGTGCCAGCTGCCCCCAGGAGCCAACAATCCCAACCTCCAGGGCAGCCGAAGTCGGTCCACATCCCAGTGTGAGCTGGGGCTGGACTCCAGCCAGGACTAGAGGTCCAGCGGGGAGACCGGAGGGCCCAGACTCTGTCAGGTGAACCCATGGACAGATGGATGGACAGACACCACGCCAGCCTCCTCTCCCTCCCCATCCTGGCCTTCAGAACCACACCCCACAAGTCCCACTGTGCTTCCTTCCCTCAGCCTGCCCCAAAATGCCAACGTCCTTCCCCAAAACCGAATGCCACCATCTGGGTGGTTCAGAGATGCACTGTCTCCTCTCTTTTCCTGGAGAGGGAGCCTCTGGGGATGCGATGCCATGCCCTGGCAAGGCATGGAAGCCCAGGATGGAGCCAGGATGCTGGGACAGCCAGGGACCCTGGGTCCTTCCACTGCTGTTTCTCTGATGTCCCCATTAACAAGCACCCTCCCCTCACTAAGGCGCTGTGCCCGGCCCTAGGCTGGGTGCTGGGGACCCAGAGTGACTGAGACCCAGCCTGCCCAGGGGAGCCAGATGCTTGAGCCAACGCAGGCAGCTCAGGGACTCCTGGAGGAAGGCACCCGCTGGCCCCCTGGGTAGCGCCCCCTCGGTCCCACAGAAGCCAGCTCTAGGCTGCTTGTTGTCACCTGCTTGCCATGCATTTCCCAGAACTCTGGGGTGGCTGCCCCTGGGATGTGCTGCACCCCGACTTCCCATCGTCCTAGCACTCGGCCTGGGTGGGCGCCACAGCTCCAGCCTCAGAAGGGCCCCTCACACTGGGCAGGGGTGGGTGGTCAGGGTGGGCGCCAAGCTTGTTGCCCTCTGCCCAGGACTGCCTGCAGGGGATCAGGAGCTTTCTGAGGACTCATCGAAACATCACCTTCACCCTGACTGCCATTGGCCTCGCCTCCACGGTACCCACTCGCCCTCCCTCACTGCCCCTCCCCCACCTCCTTGCCCCTCCACCTGCCGTCCCCTACCCCCGATGGAAGGGCAGGGCTGGGCAGCCCCAGGCCGATCTCTGGTCTTGGGGAGCACCAGGGTTCCCCACGCACAGGGAGCCAGGGAGGAGCAGGCCGCTGCCTCCCTCCCATCCCTAGACAGCAGGGAACCTTACTGTACCCTACGGGTAACTTGCTGGGAAGGCGGTGAGGCCCCTCCGTCCTGCAGCTGCTGGTGCTCGTGCTGACACCGCCTCCCTCCCAGGTGTATGGGATGCTGCTCAGCTCCTTCCTCTGGTTCACCATCCGCGCCGGCTGCAGCTTGGACCGCAAAGGCAGATACACCCTGAGCCCAGGGTAGGCCCCCACCTGCCCCTCCACCACCTTGCCCAGGGGGTCCCACAGCCCTGCAGGCGGAGGTGAGCCCGCACTCAAGCTGGTTCCCCGGCCAGAGAGCCTCGGCTGCTTCCCACTCCCCAGATGTCTTTCCTCCGCGCAGCTGGGTAGGACCCCTGGACCAAGAGCCGAGGCTGACACTCCAGGGGAGGCGCTTTGGTGGTAGCTGGTCGCTGAGGGAGGGGGGCAGCTGGACAGTTGCCAGAGCAGCATGCACTCTGTTCTACAGCCCGCACAGGGACCCCCTCTGCTTGCCCCCAACCCCTGCCGAGGCCTAGCCTCACAAGTGCCATCTCCACCAACACCAAGAGATGGATGCTCCCAGGGCCCCCAAACCACGGCCCCAGGCCAGGACCTCTGATCTTGGGGAATCCCAGGGCTTTTCATGCGCAGAGAGCAGGGAGGACTCAGACCCAGCAGCCAAGAAGCCCCTCCTGCAGCCTTGGTGCTTGCGGCCATCCCTGCCTGCCATCCCCTCCGCTCGCTCCACCCGGTTACTCACCTTGGCTGTCCGGGCCCCGTCCCTGCCCAGGCGTCCTGCCTGGCCCCTCCACGTTCTGGAACAGCCTCACTGTATCCTCTACTCCTCAGAGCCCGTGGCTGCCAGCCCCAGGAGCCCAGCTTCTTCAGATGCTCCCAGTGGGGGCCTGCACCTCAACACTCGTCTAAAGCAGATGCTCTCAGTGGCCGTCTGGGTCCAAGGGGACACTCGGATGGCCCTCGGCTGCTCCAGGGCGACTGACACTGTTTCAACCGCCTTTCCTGTCACCCGTCCACCCACAGAGGCGAAGGCGCTCCGGCCTGGGCCCACACAATCCCGACAGGAGGCTGTGAGCCAATTCCTCCACCCCGTGGTGGGATGGGGAAGGATGGAGACCCAAGGAGCAGGCTCCGTTTAAGCAGACGGAGGGGTGGGGTCGCTCTCAGACACCGCAGGACAGGCTGGGTGGGAGTCAAGACAGAGAAGCCAGAGGGCAGGCTTGACCAGGCTCTCCCTTTAAGGCCAGAGCCAGGGTGGGCCAGGCTGGGCTCCCCGCTGCAGCCTCTGGAAGGATCCGCTTCCGGGCTTGGTCCGGCTGTTGGCGGAATTCAGTCCCTCATGTCCAGGTGAGTGGCGGCTTGTTGAGGCCTCCTCTCTCGTGCTGAGCATCTCTCTGCCTTCCCCGTTCCTCCTGGCTGAAGACAGCACCCAGGTTTCAAAGGTTCATGGGGCCGGATGAGGTCCGCCCCGGTGACTGCCCCATCTTAAGGGGGGAGCACTACCACATTCCCAGTGACACTGTGTCCACAGGTTCCAGGGACTAAGGCAGGATGTCAGGGGAGGGGTGCTTTAGAAATTCAGCCTGCCACGGCCACTCCCACTGGACATTGAAACCACCTCTTCCGTGAATTCTCTCTAACTGTCCCCAAGGGTTTGTGTCCTTTGCTCAGAATCCAAAGTCCTGGGTGGCCACACCAAATTGGCCCAGGGAGGCCGGGGCCCCAGCAGAACGGACAAAGGAGATGGGAATGTCGGGGTCCTTTTGGCTTCCACACATGGAGGTCGGGCCTGCCCCTACCCAGACCAATGGTGGGGGGTGGTCCTCCAAAACGAGAAGACTCACTCTGTGATGGGCAGCCAAAAAGTGACCGATAGCCACTACCGTCCCCTCCTGGGTTTCCAGTCACACACACACCTCTTCCCACACTCCCACTTCCAAAAACCAGAACGCTGCCACCGAATATCGAGCCAACAGCACTCCTGCGACTGAAATCCTGTCCCCAAGGGAAGACGCCCCAGCGTCCCATGGGTCCTGCATTCGGGGACAGTCCAGGGTCTCTGGGGACGTGCATTCCTCCTCTGGGTCTGTCCTTCTCCTCTCACTATTCTACAACTTACAAAATAAATTTTAAAGAAAGAGCCAGATGTATGTCCTATGCACAACAATGGTGGAAAGTAAAGGAAATTTAGTTGAGTTCTGCAAAACTTAGACGACACAGCAAAAAGAGAAATGTTGCCAGAAGCTCTGGACTGCTTTCTGCAGCTGGCCGCGAGGCCATGACTGTGTCCACGGCTGGCCTCCTCCACACCCCATCCCGTCTTCTCTCAGCTGGCCCGAGGCCGGTCCTGGTGGGCGACCCCACTCTTCGTTTCGGAGGATGCTGAGGAGTGAAGATCTTCATCCTTGTTGCCATGGCCTTCCACCCACTGTCGCGTTACCAGACGTGGCCGGATGAGGAAAGACCTCGGGACCCACAGTCCCACCCGCATGGAGTAGCGCCCATTTCCTCTTCAGAGGGTCACCCCAGCCACCACCATGGCACCCTTTCTGGCCTCTTAACCTGGTGGCAGAGGAGCCCCGAAATGGGCCAGGTGGCAACCAGGGCTCCCAACTCAAGGACATCCTTTTTTTTTTGTCTCCAGTCAAAGCATTCCTCCGTTGGTTACCAAAATCCCCAAACCAGGAGAGTGAGGACCAACGGGGCCAAGAGGCACACTTTTGTGAGTGGCTCATTAGCTCTAAGCACAAGATGTGTGGCCCCATGCCCACCCTGTGCACCCTGACTGGGGAGAAATGGCCCCACTGACTAGCTGCTAGTGCCGTATCTCTCAGGACACTGCTACAGCCTCGCAGCACTGTCCCCCCGCCGTGGTCTTAAATGATGCCTAAGAAGGCCAGGCCACCATCCCACAGGGCCACCTCCTTTTGAGTACCAGGTTAAATGGTAACCCTCTTGAGTCTTGGCCAGAAACGATGGGGAACCGGGACAGTAAATCAGGCTTTGTCTAAGGAAAGTGCCCTGCTGGCAGAAGTATGACAGGCAGGGGAGCAAATCCCAGTCTGAACAAGGGTCAAGGGTCAAGGGCGCTGGGACAAATCACTGCTACAAGGGCAGCTGCGGTTAGCGCTGTGTCAGCATGTTCCGGGGGTGTCTCCAGGTGAGACGAGCTTTGGAATCACTGGACTCGGGGGAGCAGACGACCCTCCCCCGTGCGGTGGGCCTCATCGTCCATGGAGGGCCTGGAGGAACGAAGGCGGAGGAGGCAGGAATTCACTCCTCTTCCGCCTCACCCCGTGCGCTGGGACATCTCAGCTCATCTTCTCCCGCCTTTGGACGGGGAACGCACTATCCGCTCGCCCTGGTCTCAGACCTTCAGACTCGGGTTGAATTACACCACCGTCCCTCCTGGGTCTCCAGCTTGCGGACGGCAGATTGCGGACTTCTTAGGCTCCATAATCACAGGAACCAATTCCTCACAATAAATCTCCTTTCATAGGGAGGGAGGGAGATAAATAGGTGATAGATGGATGGATGAATGGATGGGTGGATACATAGATAGAGAGATATATGTCCTTCTGGTCCTGTTTCCCTGGAGAACGCTGACTATACAGGGTACAAAGTCAGTGACCCTGCAGGCTGCTCTCCTGTGAAGTAAGGTACCACACTGCAGTGCAGAATTGGTTGCCACGGTGACAAACCGGGCTGCCGGCTGTAGGGGTATCCGGGGAGCCTCAGTGGCTGGACCCATGGGTGGCTCCCCTTCCCACCTCATGTCTGCTATGCACAGGAGGCCACTGGGCAGCGTGCGAGTGGCGGGAGTTCCAAGAACCTTATGAGAGTCCAGATACTTAACATCGGCTGCGTGACCCAGCAGACAAGTGACTTCAGGATGGGTACTTCAGGTCACCTGATGCCTAACAGACAAGAGTCAGTCTCTCCTTGGGCCCAGGAGGAAGCTGAATGCTGAATCTCAAAGGGAGGAGAGGTCCTGGCCAGAGAGGGTGTGGCTGTGCCCCACACTCAGGACGGGCGCTTGAGTTCTCTCAAAGCAGGCATCCACTCGGGCCACCTGGATATAGATAGAGGCAGAGAAGCAGACGCCCAGATGTGGTCCATGCTTCCTCCAGAAAGTGTTGTGCGCTTGTCCTTCACCATGAGTGTGTCTGTGTTCACTGTACCCCAGAGAGAACGTCACTGAGAATGCACGAGCCTGTCTTCTCATAGGGTCTCCTTCCCACTCTCTGCCACCCATGGTTTCTAGCAAAGTGACCTCCTGCTTCCTCCTCTCCAGGTTCCATTGCCACCATGTCCTGGGGCTGAACAAGGGGTCAGGGTCCCTGTGCACCCACTCACAGCTGAGAGCCAGAGAGTTCAAGTCACCCCAAGGCTAGACCATGCTACATGCCTCCCGGGTGACAGCACACGGCCTCCGTGGCTTTCTGCATGTCAGGACACACCTAAAAAAGGCCAACATGAAAGCAGGGTTCACTGGCTAAGTTGCTGCTTGCCGGGTGCGATTGTCTGCATTGATTTGCTCCAAGTAAGAACATCTGGGGGGCCCGCCCAGTGGCGCAGCAGTTAAGTGCACACGTTCTGCTTCGGCGGCCTGGGGTTCACTAGTTCGGATCCCAGGTGTGGACATGGCACCGCGTGACAAGCCATGCTGTGGCGGACGTCCCACATATAAAGTAGAGGAAGATGGGCACAGATGTTAGCTCAGGGCCAGCCTTCCACAGCAAAAAGAGGAGGAATGGCAGCAGATGTCAGCTCAGGGCTGATCTTCCTCAAAAAAATAAATAAATAAATAATTTAAAAAAAAAAAAAAAGGATTATCTGGAAGGACGGCTGCAATTATGTCTCACACACACACACAGCCCCTCGATTTTAAGACCTTCCCCAATGCAGCACAGCCCGCAGCTGGAAAGCTGACCCAGGGTAACACCTAGAGGAGGGCTGCCGAGTCCCGTCCATCGCGCTCGCCTCGCTGGAGAGCGCCACACCGTTTCTGATGCTGTTCAGTCCACGCACGGCCATCCGGGCACGCGTGTCCTTGCCCACAAGTGTGAACATTCATCAGTCAGGCAGGTGTTAAAGGGCATCACCTTATGACTTTAATTCCCATTTCCCTGACTACTAACCCGGTTTTCACATGTTTCTTGGCCATTTCTGTTTCCTGCTCTGTGACGGGCCTTTTCGTGTCTTTTGCCCATTTTTCTCTCGGATCCCACATCTCACTGACGTGTGGGGCAGCTTTGATGTCTTACCGGGTAGAAACCGCTTGTCGCTTACGTGTATGGGAGATAGCTTCTCCTAATTTGTGGCTTGACTTCACGTTCTTTATAATGACTCCTGGTGAACAAATGTTCTTTGCTTGTTTCTTACCTTCTCAGGAAAATTCTAATACAGAAAAGAAATAGAAAGAATAACACAATGAACATGCATATATCACTGTGATGGCTAATTTGATGTGTCACCTTGGCCAGGCCGTGGTGCCCAGCTGTTCTGTCAAACACCAGTCTAGATGTTTCCATGAAAGTATTTTGCAGATGTGATTAACATCGAAATCAGAGGATTGTGTGTAAAGCAGGTCACCCTCAATAATGTGGGTGGGCCTCATCCAAACAGTTGAAGGCCTTAAGAGCAAAGATTGAGGTTTCCCGGAGAAGAAGGAATTCAAGCTCAAGACTGCAGCATAGAGACCCTGCCTGAGTTTTCTGTCTGCCAACCTGCCCTACGGATTTCACATTTGCCAGCCCTCACAATTGCACGAGCCAATTCCTTAAAACGAACCTCTCTCTGTCTCTCCCTATATACACACACACACACATACATATTACTTTAAGAAATGTATAGGTAAATTTCTTAAAGTACACTACTGACGTCATGACCTTTCAACCATAAGTAGATAAATAGTTCAGCAAGTTCAGCATTCATCTCCACAAATGGAAGATCTTCTCCAACAAAACCACAAGCCCCCAATCACATCTAGCTAAATTAACAATAATCCCCTAATAATATTGAAAATATAATCCATGTTCATTTGTCCCCAGGTCCCAAATGGCTTTTGTTGCTGGTTTGTTCAGGCTGAGAGCCCATCAGGCCCCCTGCTTTGGGAGTGTCTCTTTAGTCTGTTCTAATTCACAGCACTTTTCTCTACCCCTAGCATTCTTTCTCCCATATCAGTAACTCGCTTCAGGGACACAGATCAGGTGCCTGAAGGTCCCAGGGTCTGGATGCAACTTCCTTACGGTGCCATTTTACGTGCTCCTCCCTCCCGTTTTTCCAGTAACTGGAGGTTGGTGTTAAAGGCTTGGTCAGCTGGGAGCTCAAGCACTTTGGCAAGAACCCTCCACAGGTGAGGTCCGGTGCTCCTTACTGCCCACACGCGGGGAACATGGTGTCGGGTGCTCCCACATCAGTGAGGCTGTTTGATCACCGAGGGCCACTGATATTTCCACTTCTTTGCAACCAGCAAACAGTCCGTGGAGGTCACGGTGATAACCAGTTCCAGCAAGCACGCCTCCTCCTCCTGGTTGAAACGTCGGCTGCCGGTTCCTTGCCTGAACCAATCATTTCATCGGGTGTTGCAAAGCAGCACGTCTCTGACGGTGGTGGGCAGCATCTAAAATAGCCCCAAAGATCTCTGCGTCCTGATCTTCACACCCAGGTGCAACCCTCTCCTCCAGAGTGTGGGCTGGAACTGGGGGTTCACTTCTAACAACTGAATACGGTAAAAGTGGTGAGGTTAGGCTACAAAAAGACCCAGCTCCCATCTTCTCCTCCTCACTGGCTCACTCCACTGGGAGCCAACCACCATACTGAGAGCTGTCCTAGGGAGAGGCCCACAAGACAAGGAACTGAGGGTGGCCTCCAGCCAACAACCAGAAAGGAACTGAATCTTGCCCGTAATCACTAAGTGAGCTTGGAAGCAGACCCTTCCTGGTCATGCCTTCAGATGAGACTGCAGCCCAGCCATCAAGGGCAGCCCATGAGACACCCTGTGGTAGGTCCTGGGGCTCATTCTTGCAAGAGACCCTCGGCCAGAGGGCTCAGCACTAAGCCATGCGTTGGCTCCTGACCTGCAGAAACCATGAGATAATAATTGGTGGTTGTTTTAAACTACTAAGTTTTAAGCTAATTT